TCATCAGGTCCATAAACACTGCTGGGGCATTAGTTAATCCAAAAGACATTACCAAGAACTCAAGTGTCCATATCTAGTTCTAAAAGCTGTCTTTGGAACGTCTTTCTCCCGAACTCGTATCTGGTGGTACCCTGATCTTAAATCAATCTTTGAGAAACACTTAGCACCTTGTAATTGATCAAACAAGTCATCTATCCTCGGAAGGGGATACTTATTCTTTATAGTTGCCTTATTCAACTGTCGATAATCGATACACATCCTCAGTGAGCCATCTTTCTTTCTCACAAATAATACTGGTGCACCCCATGGTGAAGTACTAGGCCTGATAAAGCCTTTATCAAGCAAATCTTTCAGCTGATCCTTCAACTCCTTTAGCTCAGCAGGAGCCATTCTATAAGAAGGGATATATATGGGTTGTGTACCTGGTAGCATATCGATAGCAAAATCAATTTCTCGTTCTGGAGGGATACCAGGGAGTTCGTCTGGGAATACATCTAGAAACTCATTAACTACCGGAATAGACTGAAGAGTCGGTGGTTCTGCATCTATATTATGAACGCAAACAAAATGATAAATACAACCCTTGGTAATCATCCTCCTTGCCTTAAGATAGGAAATAAACCTCCCTTTCGGCGTTGCTGTATCGCCTTTCCATTCCAGAACTGCCTCTCCTAGAAAGTGGAATCTAACAATCTTTGTCCGGCACTCAACATTAGCATAACAAGATGCTAACCAGTCCATACCCATAATGACGTCAAAATCAACCATCTCTAATTCTACCAGGTCTACAGAGGTCTGACGGTCGATAATTTCTACCGTGCAACCTCGATAGACTCTCCTGGCAATAATAGACTCACCAACTGGTGTAGATACAATAAAAGGTCGATCTAATGACTCTGCTACTATACATAACCTCCCCGCAATAAATGGAGTAACATAAGACAAAGTAGATCCAGGATCTGTCAAAGCATAAACACAATGGGAACAAATGATCAATGTACCTGTCACAACATCTGGTGATGACTCTGAGTCTTGTCGGCCGGGTAATGAATATGTACAGTTCTGTCCACTACCAGAACTAGATGCTCCCTCTCTGCCTCCGCTTCTACCCCTACGTACTGAAGTATGAGGTCCACGCCCTGTAGACTGTGCTAATGAGAAGGAACCTACTGCTGACCTGTACCACCCTGACCTATGGTAGGGCAGTTTCTCCACATATGCCCCTCCTGTCCACAAGAATAACAACTTGTGGAACCCTGTCTACACCTCCCAAAATGCATCCTACCGCAAGTAATGCAACGCGGCGGGGACGTCCTAGCCTGTCTTGAACCCCTCTGCTGCTGCAAGCCTGATGCTCGTGAACCCTCACCTGAGCCTGACTGTTCCTGACGATCAAATCTACTACCCTGGAACTACTGTGGTGGAGGTCTAGGTGGCCTAATAAAATATTGGGGTATGGTACCACCCTGAAAATCTCTCTGCGAACCAGCGGGCCTAGCCCTCTTCTGTCTCTCTCTCTCGACCATCTCACTCGTATACTATAGATGTCGGCGATCCTCTATGCCCTGTGCGAAGGCCTGAATCCGCGAGATATCCATATTATCATTTAGCGCAGCGGTAGAACAAGCCTCGATATAGTCTGAGTCAAGCCCTCCCACAAATCTACGCACCCTGCCATGTATCGTATCAACAAATGCTGGTGCATATCTAGCCAATGAATCAAATCTCAGCCCATACTCTGGGACACTCATGCCACCCTGTCGGAGGTTCAGAAACTGGTCCACCCGGCCATCCCTAATCTCTCGAGGCAAATAGTGATCTATGAAAGCTTCTGTAAAGCTATCCCAAGTGGGTAGAGATGCATCTTTTTCCCTAGATCTCTACCAACTTTCATACCACAATACTGCAACATCACGTAATTGAAATGTTGTTAACTCAACTGACTCAGTCGCTGAGGCATGCATGACTCTGAAGATCCTATGAAGCTGATCAACAAAGTGCTGAGGGTTTTCTCTGCGATCTGTCCCTGTAAACTGTGGAGGATTCAAGGCAAGAAATTCACGAACTCTCGAACTTCCGGGCCCTTCAGAAGGTCCGACAATATCTGGCGCAACTGGCTGGCACTGTGCAGCTACTAACTGTGCTAACATATATACTGCACTCTTGAAATCCTGATCAGATGGAATAAGAGGAACTAGAGGTGGTACTGCTGGTGGAGCCGGAAGTCCTGTAGCCATCGGAGGCTCCTGAAGCTGTGGAGAAGCTATAGGGGGCTGAGAAGATGTCTCCCCCTGGGTCTCACAATGGGCTACCTCCACTTGTGGTACCCTCGCTTGCAGTTATATCTAGCCCCTGGCTAGTTGTGGTCTGTCTAGTGTCAGTCATCTCTATCTGCATACAAGTATCAATTATAAGCCAGAAACATCAACCCTTAAGACACCGCTCTATAGCACGAGGTGAGCAAAAGAAGGATAATCATTCTAACATGCCCGGTAGCTTCTTGCTTATCGAATGTGGTGCACAACACATTTATAAACAAGACTCTACTAGACATGACTTGCAGACTCCCTAGGATACGACGTTGCTCTGATACCAAGTTTGTGACGCCCCAGATTCAAGGGCGCAACTGGCTCCTAATGACAGAACTCCAGCTCGAGCCGACCCTGCTGAACCATTTGCTAGTAGCACATGGTAGCCACAAACAGTCAAGAAAACAAATAAGTATATCTCGGCTTAAAATTAAGCCATCGGCCGGCAAGGCCCCTGTCAACTGATCTATAAAGGAAACAGCTACTCCCAGGAATTCATATAAATAAATAGTCAACCAGCACAGAAGTCCTGATTGGGCCGTCGAGGCCACCATGATATCTATACCAAAACTAAAAGCAGGTAAATATCAGTACAATACATCAAACAGCTCACAAGCTTCAGCAAACCAACAACATAGGCCAACATGGCCATAACGTAGCTATAAACCCCACACACTAGTCTGCAAGCCTCTAAGAGTAGTAAAGATTGGTGGGACAGGGCCCCAGCCTACCCATGAGAATATACACAACAAAAGGTAACAAACCTCCCAACTCTGGCAGCTCCGGAGGAAAGGGGCTGACCAACCGGATAAAAGTCAATCCTGCTGCTGAGGAGGTCACTCGGTCGTCTGTCAGGACCTGCATGCATGAATGCAGCGCCCCCAAGGCAATGGGGCCTCAGTACAAATAATGTACAGAGTATGAAAGGCAATAGACTATGATGAGGTATCCTGATATACTGGAATAATCTGATAAATAAATCAAGGATAAGATAACTGTACTGACCTGCTCCTAAATCTAAACTTATGAAAAATAATAAAACTACAACCTGACCAAGCCCCCATAAGCCCGGCAGGTACAAACAACACATAAGACCACCTACTCAGGCCCCCATAAGCCCAGAAGATGCCAATCAACATGTATACCCCTATTGGTAGTCCCCTAGCCCCGCAGGCAGCCCTCAATTACATTGCTCCTAAGCTTTAAGGAAATATGCCATAGGAAGAGAATAGCCTTAACATACCTTTTTCGCTAAATTCACGTGGCCTAACGACTTTAACTCATAACTCCCTTGATACTACAACAAGGTAGGACCATAATCAACACACAAAAATAAAAGATACTATGACAATATGATAAAAGATATGTATTTCCATCGCAAATTGATGTTTGCCGCTTATAAAAGCTAAAGTCGATGAAAGAAGGGTCTTACCTCGATCTTAGGTTCGTAATTCACCTCAAAACCTTCAAATATATTCAAACCCCTGCTGTCCCAACACTAAAGTGTGATATACTACGCAATCGATAAAACAAATTATACCACGATGATGAGCCCAATGCGTAGAACAACTTTCGTCAAGGACTTGAGTCGAGAAAATCTATACTTCACTTGATCCTAGAAATGGGTTTCTCTAATTTCTCTGATTATTATCTTAAAAATGAAGAAAAAATTCGAAGAAGACGATATATGCAACTTTCCACCAACCTAGGGCCCCACCTCACGTGTTTGCTTGCGCAGTCCTACAAAAATGCGAATATCTCTCTATTCTGAAGTCGTATGAACAAACGATTTGATGCGTTGGAAACTAGACTCGTAGACCTTCGATTCGATAGTTTGTGGGCCCCATAACTCTTTATAGATTGGGAGAAAACCTCCAAGACATTTGACCCAAATTTCAGAGAAATCTTTAAGAAGGAACTTACGATAACTTCCGCCAACTTTTATTTTGCCACTTACCTAACTTCAAAACTTGAGATGCAACACTTCAACACTTAAAATAGGAAATACCACATCATTCTTAATTTATTACCCATCCTCCTTGTCTTTCCATGGAGATACGAGTAAGTTTAGACGTTTCGAAAGGTCGGTGTGTTACAGCTTTATACAAACACAAATGTAATTTATACATTTGTGTTTGTATAAAGTGAGAGTGGCGAGCGAGATTCACTGGGGAGAGAGACGAATGACAATTGTTTGTTGTGGCTTACAATTAAATGAAACTGTGATTATATCATTTAATTTGAATTAAATTGTTTGTTATTTTATACAATTCAATTAATAATTCATACCAAATTTAGAGATTTTAATACTTCTCTCTTTAAAAAAATATTTGGTGAATTGGGTCGAAGTAAATGGATGACCAGGCCCATAATTAGGTGGAAATTAAGCCCAATTAACAAGCACTACTAGGGCTCTAGTCCAACCCTTATTCATCTGTTCTAGCGCTGAACTCTGAATATCTCAAAAAGGTATGTAACTGCAAATCTTCTCATACTATCTCTGTTTTTTTTAACTTTTGTGTGCTATGATTTTTCTATCAAACTCAAGCAAATTAGTGATGATAAATAAGTAGTATAATTGCTTGGAATTGGATTCAAGTTTTGCTGATATGATTGCTCATGAGATGTATCAAAAGTGATTTTTCTGTTTTAAGATTCATTCAATTGATGTGTTAACTGTTATGCAGTTGGGAAAAGTAAAAACTCGAAGAAATAAAGAAGAGATCATGGGTGAAAATCCTACCCACAACAAGAAAACTGGTTTGCCTAGAAAACGTTTTTATCGAGCCCGTGCTCATAGTAATCCCTTAAGTGACTCACATTTTCCGATTCCTATTTCTCCTGAGGAAGTTGATTATTCTCTACATTATCCTGAAGTGGTTAGAGTTGATCCTTCTAAAAGGATCGAGTTTGCTGATGTTGGTTGTGGATTTGGTGGTTTACTGATTGCGCTCGCGCCCCTTTTCCCTGATAATCTTATGATTGGGATGGAGTTGCGGGACAAGGTGACTGAGTATGTGAAGGAGCGGATTTTGGGGTTGAGGACGACTAATCCTGGTCAATATCAGAATATTTCAGTGGTACGGACAAATTCAATGAAGTATATTCCTAATTATTTTGGGAAAGGACAGCTTAAAAAGATGTTTTTCTTGTTCCCGGATCCTCATTTTAAAGAGAAGAATCATCGTCGACGTGTTATTAGTCCATTCTTGTTAGATGAGTATGCGTATGTGCTTGCAGTTGGTGGAATTATATACACAATAACGGATGTTGAGGAGCTTGGTGAGTGGATGAAATCATGTTTGGAAGAACATCCGATGTTTGAGGCACTTACTACTGAAGAACTTGAAGCTGATCAGGTTGTAAAGCTTCTTACTGCTGCAACTGAAGAAGGACAAAAGGTAGCACGCAACGGTGGACAAACATTCCGAGCTGTTTTTAGACGAATTGCAGCTCACTGAATGGTATGGTCAAATTCTAGGGATTTTTCGTACCTCCGTCTTCTGTTGTTGAGTTAATAGAAATGTGGTTACCACAACTAATTATAGATACTTTGTGACTGATCATGGAGATCAATCACCATTCTGCGCCTTTTTCTTGATTTTGATTGCTCCATTCTTGAGAATGCAGTTAGTTTATCATTCATGAAGGCAGCTCATCCACTTTTCTAAACCTGATCTAGCAGAATTGATTAGAATGCATTGATTATCATGGATATGCTCAACATATTTAGGTGTACTAGGACAAGTAGCATCCCTATTGAGCTTCAAACGATCTTGTATTATGCTTATATCATAATTTAATCTTTCTGATTGTTAAGTTCTTAACGATATTCGTGTTTCCAGTAGATTGTGACATTTACCATTCTCATTTAGTCATTTGGACTCTTTATTGTCTCTTCTCCGCCCTGGAATGCTAACTAACTGTTGTACATCTGTCTTTCTGATTATACTCTGCATCTAGGCTCTTGCCCCCATTCCCCCTTGAACACCCAAGAGGGACGGAGGGTTTGAGTGGTTGAACTTCTCTTGGGCGAATCTAATGATCGTGTCTGGACTCCTCTATTCATCTGTCAAACTCATTTATGAATGCTATGATGGTCAGGCATAGCTGGACTTTTTCATAGGAGGGATGTAGTATTATATTATTAGTATTAACTGAGATGTGGGCAAGTTGATTCGGACACTAGGGCTAATCAATAGTTGGGCCGTGCTAGTGTTGTGTATTTTTGTTTCTTAGTTTTTTTTTTCTTTTTCTTTTTGCATTTTTGTGTTTATCTTTAATTTGCATGTTTTTTTTTTCCTGTTTCCCACCCAATCTTTAGTATCCACATTGGAAACCCCATTTTGGGGTAAAACACTTCCTAACAAAAGCAACTATGTATCCAAGCAACTCGCGACATTGAAAATTTAATCTGGATTTGAATGTTGCTATATAATTATCAGTGTTGAACTAGACGGGACACTGAATTTAATTTGCAGTTCAATATGCTTACTTTTCAAACACGTTTTTTTAAATGGATAGTTGTAGATTTTCATAATTCAAACACATGCCTAACTTAGTACCGGTGTGGCCAAACTTCTAAACCTTTGCTTATTTCGGCTAAGTGTTTTTTTTTTTCTTCATAAAATAGCTTTTGAGAAAAATACTCTTGGAGAGTGTTTTCGTGTTTGTCAATTAAAAAAAATGTGTTTTGCGCGTCAAATTAATAAAATGATATTAAGGTTCATTTTCAGATTTGTACTTATTATTCAAATAAAGTGATTAGTTAAAATTGAAAAATATGGGATGCAATAATAATAATTATTAGCCTTCAAATATAGAAGATTTCGATAAATTTCTCTACTTCTATATTCACAAGAATATCATTAATTAGGATCACGAAAATTCAAACAAAAGCAAGTTGAGGGTAAATAGTTGATATGCAGCCAATAGATTAAGAAGAGCTCTCTATGTAGCATAGCTCTCACCTTTGCCTAGAATAACACTATTAGTTTGATTTGCTGACAAAATTATTTCAAGATTATAATTCTAAAATTATAATTTTAGGTGTCAATACTTATATATATATTTATTAAATTAAAATTTAACCTCTATATGCAATATAATTTTCCGACAAAGAGGTGTCGCTAGTTTAATTAAACGTTTGTAATATTATTTGGCTTCCATTAATTGGAGGATTTCATCCTATGTGTTAAACTAAAGTTCACATATTATTTAGAATCTAGATAACTAAAACTTACCACAAATTACAAGTACTTTTTATAGCCAAAAGTTATTTAATATGTTTTTTTCTTTTCTCTTTTTTTTTCTTCGCATTGATGAATGTGTACCTAATTTTCCTAAGGTACCATTATTGATAGCTTATATTAACAAATTATAAGCTAAGAAAAAATAATTAACATAAACATAAGCAAACTTGTCTTTATTTAATCAAGTATAGAAACAATATGACTTCAACCAAGTGGGTGATATTCAATATGATATATTTACTAAGTTTGATCATTTTTGTATCAAACTCAGTTGAGTTTTTAGAAGGGCGTCGCTTGCTTTTATCAAAAATTCCTCCAATTGATGTTACATTATTAGAAGATTCTTTGGCTCTTGCCCCATCAATCCCTCAAAAAAATGATGTTGATGGTCATGATGATGGTTCGGTATTAACTTCTGTTTCCATCTCAACTCATGATGATCATGGTGATGATCATGATGATGATAATCATGATGATGATCATGACGATGATAACCATGATGATCATGACGATGATAATCAGGATGATGATACAGTATTAACTCCAGCATCCAACCCAACTCATGATGATCATAATGATGATAATCAAGATGATGATACAGTATTAACTCCAGCATCCAGCCCAACTCATGTTGATCATAATGATTAATCATAATGATGATAATACAGTATTAATTCCTGCTTATGTTCCAACTCATGATCCTATGGCAAAAATTATGATTACTAGTAGTTAATTACTCCATTTCATGTTCTCTTGATTAATGGAGTTTAATTTTTTTTTTTTATATATATATATATATTACAAAAATTAAACAGCCGTACGTTCTCATGGCTAACTACAAGCTTAAATTATGTAATATTCTCTACATGCATTTTGATAATAATAAAGTGAATATATAATCACCTTTTTCTCTTCTTGTCACTTCCATGCCATTCTGAGGAAATATTGTGTTAGTTTTTGTCTTTATTCTTGCTATTATGTATGGTGTGCTGTTACTGGAGAAATTAAAATAGGTTAAGGTTTCATGTTATCCTTTTTTTTAAAGAGATAAAGAGTCGAAAACATATTTGAATTATATATAAATTTCACATCCTAACTATTAATTGTTTCTTTTTTCTGTTTGAACTTTCACTAGTGTTTTATTTTCCTATCATAATTATCACCACATATGTATTAAAACATACTTAATTTAGTAGATGATAATTCATACAGAAAAAAAGAAACAATTGAGTTGGCCAAATCATCTAAAACAATGTATTTTGCAGCTATAATCTCATCAAGTAGGCGCTTTATGCTCTGCTCTTCCAGTTAAAGTCAAGCTTCGGATTTTTACTCTCTAATAAAAGTTCTATCTGGCTTTTCATTGGGAAAGTAAGAGATGAATACAGTTGTGAACGGGCTTCTCTTCCTAGTTCGAAAAGTTTGAAGTACAACAAAAAGCTTTTTTCAGATAAATGACTGAATGGTGCTAGAGGAGAGTATGTTAAGACATGTTCAAGCCAAACTATTACTTTCTCCAGGTACTATTGAAAGAAGAATGCCGTGTCGTCCAGCGCACTTGACCAACCCGATATACCAAAGCATCCTGGCCAACCAACCAACGAATGGAACAGAGATCTACTGATCATTCTCTATATCATAAGCATATTTAAAAGGGATGAATATGAAGCTTTCCTCAAGTTTTCTTCTGCTCTGAAATAATTATAAATAATTGATAGTTCATTTATAACAAGCTTCTTGACTAGGTATAACATGCTAGCACAATATATTGTCTGCTAATAACTATAAATAATGTTTATTTATAGTGATTGTGCCACAGCCTCTTTGCTAAAATGTGGGCATGTAGGTCCAAAAAGTTTAACAGATACAGTGCTTTATTTTGGTCAAAAAGCTCTGCACCTTTCACTTTATAATTTAGCACTTGAAAACTCTGCTAGACATATATAGTAGCTTCCGGCTGGTTCTCCATGACCCTAAGAGATAATTAGATTAATTCTGAGAAAGCTCCTTACTTCGTTTAGCTGCAGCAACAACTGCATTCATCAAGAAGCCGCGAAATCCAGACTTTTCCAACTCGTGAATTCCAGCAATGGTTGTACCCCCAGGAGATGCAACATCATCTTTAAGTTGACCAGGATGCTTGCCCATACCGGAGACCATTGATGCTGCTCCTAGCACCTGCAACAGAGAATCAGTTGGTCATTCGACCAGGAGCAGTATGTTTGAGGGACATGCATGTTACTCACTTGAAGAAAAAAAGGAAAAGGAAGTCTCTTAACACGGGCATCATTAATGTGCAAGTCATATATATTTTAGCTCGAGTGAATCTTACACGGAGAACAAGAAAAGTTCAATGTAAGAAGAGTTGAAAAGATGACTTGCCCTTGTCAATAACAAAGGAGAAGACACTCAAAAGATGATCACAATTATGCCTAACTAAAATAAGCCACGATATAAACAATTGCTTTGTGAGGCATTGAAAAGGGACCTTAATTGATGTAACTTGCAAGTAGAAAGATGATACAAGTTAGTTCATTTCTTAAAAAAAATAACTGTACTTGTATAGCTAAGAGGGTGCAGGGTAAGTTAAAGAACATATAATATTATAGCCTAAGAAATGCAGATGATGGTAAGTAAACCCAGTCTTCGCGAACAACCACCTTGCCTCTTATAGAACAAATGAACCTTGACGTCGAAAAGGATCTCAGGCTGAATCAGCGGAGCAAAAGAACAATTTCACTGCTTTCACTATTTCAAACAACATAACCATACTAATATATAGCACGATAGAGTATGAATCAATTGGTGGATAACTGTGAACTTACGGTTTGAGAGGCTAGTCCAAGTGCAAGCTCCCTCGGTAAACCAGCAGCCACCCCTCCATCAGCCAATGCCTCTATTGCTAGAAAAACATAGGCTGGTCCACTACCACTGACATTTCAAGGAGAAATAATAGATGTTGTTAACAATGGTACTGTATTCCAACTTTGCATGAGCTCTGCTTGTCTTTGCAAAAGCAGTTCAAGAACTAAGATCCCCAAGTGGGCTCAACAAACAGCTAGTCACAGGCGCAGATTTTGGCATCAAATTATGTGATAATAAGTGTAGTTTTAGAAACATGAGAGAAGGAACATGCCTTAAACCTGTAACTGCATCAAACAGCTTCTCATCAGCTTTCCACACCTTACCAATAGCTCCAAATAACTGGGAAATTAATTCTCCATCTTCTGTTGTTGCCTT